TGAAAATACACGTCTTCCACACGTGAAGAACTGTGCGGGTGTTTAAGCATCTCCTCTTCGACAATTGAGGCCAGAACACTGTTGTCGTAGTGCTTCTTGAATATCTCGATCGGATCGTACTTAAGCTTAGGTCCATACTTAACAAATTCGTCAGCAATTTCAATACACTTATCAAGAAACGGCCGAGGTTGGAGATTGGAACCAAGTGAACCAATAATTTCGCCCAAAGGTTTCCCTGAGCGTATCAAGGATTGAATTTGATCGCGTTCAAGTTGCGTGTCTGATGCATAACTTGAAGATAATTTCGCAGACTGAGATATCGCCGCCAATTCAGACTTGTCAGAAACAGCCCTAAGAATAGCGGGCAATCTTAGCTGCATGTTTGGATTTTTCTTGTTATAATTGACAAGAGACGTCTCGTACGCACTGAGCATCAAGCTATCATGATTGCTGTCGTGGTCAATCGTGTTGCCTGCTGGCATTGATACGTTTTCGGACAAAGTGGATTTGATATGTTTGACCGTGTTCGTGCGAAATTCCTGAAACGACTTGAGACAAGAATCAACACTATTAATGTCTAATTTACTGCGACGAAGCAGATTCTTGACATCTTCATCGCTTTTCAAGCTGTTAAACCAGTCCAGGAACAACAATGTCTTTAATCGTTCAACATCCACGTATGTTTGCTTTTTCATCACAATTTCAACCAGCTGTTCTTCAGTCGCGTATTTTGTCAGCGTTGCCATCAAATTGAAAGGCGGCCTTTCTTTCTTTTCACAATATTTATCGAAAAACTTAATCAATGTGCTAATGGACCGCAAGCTTTGATTTCCAGAATCAATCAGCTTGCCATGAAAGATCCGGTTGAAGTTGTCAATCAGCTTGAGAACTTCAACCGGATCTTTCATGGCTACCCAATGCTCAATCTGATTGATCTCAAGATTAATAGCCTCATCTGCAGTATCTGAAACTGTTTTTGCGGCTGAAATCACAGACGCCGCAACACTTTCACCAAAGCTAGCAATGAGAACAGGTAGCAAGCCTACGGGCGTGGCCGGATTTGCTTTGTTATACGTATGAACATATGAGGCAAGCGCAACAAATTCCTTGTACCCATAATTCTTGTCCTTGTGTCGATTTTTGCCCTTTTTTCCAGTAGTAGGCGGTGTAAGCGTGTTGCTTGTCTTAAACTTTCCAATGTCATTATGACTGCTCATGGTGCCGTAATACTCCTTGTACTTATCTTTCATGAAAGACACATGATAGTGTTTGTTTTCAAAGGTTTCGAGCAGCGTGTTGACTTGGTCTGGAGTTTTGAAGCTATTAAACCAGTAGCACATCAGATAGGTAAGCAGCTGATTATAAAATTCGGGATTTTTTGATTCATATGGTTTTGTGGCAATTGCAATGATCACGTCGTTAGAGTGATGGGAAAGATATCGATGAAGCGATAAAATTGGACTGATCAACTCATCGCCATTTGTCAATACGTAAGTAATAATGTAGTTTATCCACGCGAAAAACGTAAGCATATCAAAATTTGTGTTGTCAGTATAAATTTTGTCTGGATGTATTCCTTCAACCAACCAATCGTTCCTCATTTTATCAATCTTTGTCTCCACAGCTTCCTTGTTTTCAAAAATTTTGCGTAAGTTGACTCGCTGTTTTGAGCAAACGACGTCGCAACTGACTCCACGACAGTCTCCAAATTTTCGACCACATTTTCACGAGGAATTTCATTGAGTGTTGTCATTAATGCATTTACAAACATTCTCATCTCATCGTCAACAGTCACGAGAGTTCTTCCAACACTTTTATTATCATGC